CTATGTGCGTGCACCGGGGTATTATTCATGTTCGGGGTAGTGCTTAGGCTATGATATTCCTTGAATTGGTTTCTAAGCTTAATACTGTGATGTTTCTTATATGTATACCCTTGTTGTGAGCTATTTGAGCCATGTCTGAGGTTATATAGAGGTTAATCTCCTGATTGAACCTGATAATTACCACTTTTGTAATGAATTTGCTTGATTGCGGTATGATAGCACATTTTGTACATGCATACACCATAGCATGTCACTTACACCAACCCAGGTGTATGAAATTTGATGCTCATTGATCAGGTACATGTATTCTTGTTTATCTGCTTTCTATGTGATATGGATTGGACTGGTAGCCTATGACTATGCCAGGCAGATTTTGATATGTAGCATGTGACGATACCGGGCAGATTGTTCTATTTAGCATGTGAATACACCGGGCGAATTATGATATTGAGCATGTGACCATGCCAAGCATATTGCGATATGTAGCATGTGACCATGCCGGGCGGATTGTGATATTGAGTCCGTGACCACACAGGACAGATTTGATATTGAGCATGTGACCACGCCAGGCGAATTGTGATATTGGCACGTGAGTTGTCCGTGCAGCAAGTGAGTTATTTGTGCGGATTTGAGATATTGATATTATTGGCACGTGAGTTGTCTGTGCAGTACGTGAGTCGTCTATGCGGTTGATATTATTAGCATGCGAGTTATCCGTGCAGCACGTGAGTTGTCCGTGCAGCGTGTGGATATGGATCCATCCCCCTAGGGTCACCTTCTCATGTTCCTTCTTGATGGTGTATACGCGGATTATGAGAAACTGATGGGTTTCTGGTTTATGTGGACTTTGATGAAAGTAGATCAGTGGTTTGGTTCGGTTATTGAAATTCTGAAAAAAAAAGAAGTGTTTGATTTGGTTATTATATTTCATCTTTACTTGCAATTTCCTTGGTTGTTTACCTATTTTATTTGCATATCTTCTTTATAAGCTGGTTTGTTGACTGAATAGATTACGTTAAGTTATTGTGTGTACCCATGGGGGTTTTATCTTTGATTCGTGACTTGATCATATTATTGTTCTGTACTTGTTGAAGTTATGAACTGTACAAGTGATTAGCGAGTATTATTTATAATTCTTGCTTCTATTACCTCATCGAGGTTAGTTATGATACTTGCTGAGTACATGGATCGGTTGTACTCATATTACACTTTTACACCTTGCGTGCAGATCTTGGAGTTGAGATGTTGTGGATGACGGGAGCTGGCACTGAAGATGTACCTGTTTTTTTGGATATAGCTACCACTTGTCCTTGGTAGCTTTAGATTTGTCATCTGTTTATGTATATTCCAAACAGATATTGTATTTACTTTCATACCAGCTTTGTAAATCTAAATCTTAGTGGCTTATGACTTATACTACTAATATGTGAGTAATTGTATAGAAATTCAGTTATTTCACTTATTAATTCTTATTATTCTCATTTGAGTTGTGTTGGTTGTTGTTTGGCTTACCTAGCGGGTTGGGTTAGGTGTCATTATGACTAGGTGAATTTTAGGTCGTGATATTCTTCGTTGTAATTCTATTTTTCAGTTTATTACTTACCTTATATTTTGGTATTTTATTAATAAATTGTGCGACGTTTGAGCTTAATTGAGTTGATTTATGTGTATGGCCATTTGAACGCAGAGGAATGAAAGTTGCATAAAATGATATTGAAAATATAAGAAAAGAGCATGAAAGGAGAATTGGCAGAAGGAACAGAGGGGACCATGCCCCATAACTCGCCCCACTCTCGTATTTGTAGATCTTATGATTCAAAACAATAGTTTGATTGTTCATATGTTTTACGGTTGTTGATATTACTTGATTTAATCATATTGATTTATTTATTTAATCTTGTGCTTAATTATTTTACTGCGTAGCTAACAGTAGAATACTATCTATGAATCTTTAGTTTAACACGAAAGTGGAAACTATAGATTGCATATAGGATTGAATAGAATAAGTTTTTAAATCCGGGCATCAGAGAATAGATTCACAATTAGGATAGACATATTCTAGTTGCCTTACTTGATTATTATTGCAGGAGATATACATGCACTCTAGTTAACTCTTATTCTATAGATGTATAGTATTAGGTTGTCTTAAATAGGCGAGCAAGGTATCAAAAGAACCTTGTGAGCAAAATAAACTATTTTAATCAACAAATTAGATAGATCAAGTAGTTGAATCAACCGAAATAATCAGTAGGATAGAAATTAATCCTGTAAATCCAGAATATCCTCATCTTATTGAATTTGCTCTAAAGTGTTTGTTTGCTCTATTTTCATTATTTGTTCTCGTGGTTGCTTGTTCGTTGTCGTAGTAACTTTTAGTTTAGTAAAATCACAATTATCTTCTTCAAAATTTCTTGAACGAATATCTCATAGTTAGTTTAATTTAGACAATTGTTAATCATAAATTCTCGTGAAAACGATACTTTATTATCACTTTATTACTTATTGACCGTGTATACTTATATGTGCATTGGCACCAACGGAACCCTTAATCCTTCAATTATTCCTTCAATTCTCTCAATGACCCAATCCGGTAGAATATCGGTTGCATATCTGGCACCACATTTATCCCAAAATCAATGACCCAATCTGGTAGACTACCTAGAAGCTCGTCAAGAAAGACATCAAGAAACTCATTAACAACCGGTACGAACTGAATGCTAGGTATCTCGGCAGTCCGTGTTGGTGACTCTAACTAAATGATAGAGACATTCTTTTGTGATCATCCTCTTCGACTTAAGGTAAGAAATAAACTTGGTCCAAGGTTCGGTATAATTTCCCTTCCACTCATGAACTGTTCATTGGAAAATTCAAACTTGACTATCATAGACGACAATCAAGAATGGTATAACACTTGTATAATCAGTCCATTCCCATGATTATATCAAAGTCAATAATGTCTAGCTCGATTACATCTGCCATAGTATGTCGATCTTGAATTAGAATTACACAACCTCTATAAATGCGAGAAGTAGAAGAAGAATATCCAAACGGAGTTGATACAGAGAATGGTTCAAGTAGCTGTTCTGGCTCTATCTCAAAATCCAAAGTAAAGTACAGAGTGAAATAGGAAAAATTAGATCCAAGATCCATAAGAACATGAGCATCGAGAGAACAAACAGTAAGTATACATGTGACAACAATATTTGAAGCCTCTGCGGTAGGGCGAGTAGGCATGGCATAGAAACGGGGATGAGTCCCCTGAGAAGTAGCATCTATCTGTGGCACCTTCCTTGTACTGCGCCAACCATAGGCCCCATTACCCCTAGGTAGGGGTGATGCAACTGAGGTAGTAGTCATGGAAGAAATTGGCTGAGCTCTCGAATATTGTTGCATGTTAGGGCAAAACTTCTTCATATGGCTTATTTGACCACACCCATATCACGAACCCTGAATAGTTGGAGAAGAGTTAGAACTACTAGGGTGTGATCCAACACTACTATGGGCCTGCCGAGTAGGCCTATGGTCGCTTTGAGCTGGTATGTAGTGGCCTCCCTGTCCTAAACTACGTGTCGTTAGAGTGCTACTAAAAGCAGTCTGCACTCTAGACTGTGGTGGACCAAATGTCCCCCTGCTGCTATGCCCCTTACCTGAGATAGGCCCTGTACTTAAAGTATGAAAATTATGATCCTTCTTGTTTTGCTCCCTATTGGCCCTCTCCTCCTGATGAATCCTCTCAAAATCCATGGCTAGGTCCACAAAATCCAAAAAGATGGTATTTCTCCTTCCACTAGCAACATCCTTCCAGATACCTAGAATCAACCCACGGGCAAAGCGGTCAATCTTCTCATCCTCGGTGGGGATAAGGTGAAGAGCATAATGAGATAACTTCTCGAACATGATGCTATATTCTAGGCAGGTCATGGAATCTTGCTTCAAGGTCTCAAATAGTACCGTAAGAGCGGCTCTCACTCCCGGCGACAACTATTTCATAATAAACATCTTCTTGAACTCCACCCAAGTTATTGGAGGTGCATCCTCTAGGCGGATATTCTCTACCCCTTTAAACCGGAGGCATCAATGTTTTTCAACTGATAGTCCGCCAACCTGACAACCCAGTGATCTTTCACTCCTACAAGAGTAGTAGCATTCTTAATTTCCTCCAAAAAATCTTGAGGATTTACGGTAGAATCTATACCGGCGAACATTGGCAGCTCAAGTCTCACAAATTTCATGGCCAAGTGCGCCATGTCCTCCACCGCTGCTGCTCTCATCCCTCCATGTTAAAGTGCATGCCTGAATACCCACTTGAAGGTTTTGTTGGGTCTGCATAGCCATGAGGAAAAAGTGTCCATACCCTTCTTAATATCAGTGAGGGTCTTCTCCAAGCGATTTGGATCGGGAAGTGGAGCAGGTGCTTCATCAACTTCTTCCTCAAGCTCATAAACCATCTTTGGAGCCATTGGGACTGGCATAGTTCGTGCCCTTATAGCCTTAGCATGCCAGCCCCTAGGTCTAGCAGGTACCCCTCCCAAAGCCGCGTCAGGTACTTGAGCAGCTTCTCTATTCATGTTACTACTATGTGTGTTCACCATGACCTGCGAACTGAGATAGCTCACGAGTTAGGAAAATTTTCTTAGACCCTAGCTCTTTTGCACGATTCTAGAGTAGGAAGAAGAACGAAGCATTCTTATAATGTCCCTGTATCCTTCTTTATATAAGTGTGGTGCACAACACTGATAAGGAGAAATCTACTAGACATGATTCCATAGACATTCTAGTGCTCGACTTAAAGCCTACACCTCTGTTTGTCACACCCAACACTATGTGACCGGCACTCTGCACCCTACCTAACCTTGGTGAATCGACCTATATAATAATATTCATCTATATGTCTAATAGATGCATGCGGAAGCCTCTTCAAAATATAATCTTTTTAATAAATAAAACAAAGACAGAATAATGTGTTTAATTCAATTTTTATATTAAATAAAAACTTCATAAAGATAAAGAGTTTCATTCATGCATGCCATATGAGTAACCATATAATTACAACCCAAAAATAAATGCTATTAATGTCAATGGAATCTCTATGACACGGAATAAAATAGTCGACCGAGACAGGCCTTGTGGCTCAAAAAATAAATATAACAATGCTCTATGAGTACAAATTTGGAGTATATCCAAAAGATATAGCATAAGATGTAGAGATGTCCTATCCATGAGGCTCAAACTGCTCAGGCCCGGCCCCTGAAAACAGAAATAGAAATGTGGACAAAGGGCTTAAGCTCCACATGCCTAGTACGAATTATAAATTATTTCTTCAAATAAAGAAAGTGGGAAAAATTTAATAAATATTAAATATGCATAACAATTGATATAAGAAGAAAACATTTGTATCAATTAATAATTCGGACAATAAAATAAGGCAATAATGTGGAATATATTTCAAAGTCTTCATTTAGCATCAAGATTTAATAAAATTGAGCGAGGTTTATCTTTAACCAGGAGCACCATACCGACACCGGCATAATAAACAACGCTAGGTGATCAACCTAGCAATAAGTATTTGACCCTAGTTGTCGGGCAGCTTATATTATCATAGTAGTAGACTTAACCTCATTACATTAAGTAATGATCAATTGCCCTCACAAATGGGGGAACTTTATCCCACAAACATCGGGTTATCCTTGGAATGTGTCCCTATACTGGTACATATAGTTTCATGGTAACAAACTCAATATTCAAACCAATCTCGGTGGTTTTCACTAGTAATTCGCAAAACATTTGATATTACAAATTGATTCATAGCCTAAAATTTTCAAAGGATCCATTTTATCAAATCACGATGTTCATAACCGATCTAACCTTTTGAACAAAATCAAGTAAAAGTCCTTTCTCAATTCTTGTAATAGTAATTAACAAATGAGAATTTACCTTTTTATTCAACAAGTTCTACCTTAATGTGTAAAGAATTTATAAATATTTTTACTTCACGCTTTATAAGAAAATTACATATTAATACTTAAATCTTTTACAATGCAAGAAGTGATGCAATCTCAATCCGCTCGTCCACATAAGCTATGACTCCTAAAATCCATTTCTAAATCGATTTTCCATATGAATTTGGAGAAAAGCTTCGAAGGGTAGTAAATTTCAACGTGTCTCAAATCGCTTTCCAAAATCTTGCCCAAGGTTCCAATGTCACCAACGAACTTAAAATCTACATATAGCAACCAATTTCCATCTCAATTCAAGTTTGAGGAATTATTACTCAATTCAAGTCATATTCATAGATCGACCATAACCCATCCTTACATCCGAAAATCTCCATCTCTTACCCGTTTTACACTTAACAAGTTAATACTCGACGAATAGTGCTCAACACATAAATTATTAAATTGACACTATTCATTATCTTCCCAAACATACTCTTTAAGCTCAAGAATACTAGCCATTAGATTTTACTCAATAGCTTCTAAAAATCATAATTCCAACTCAACATTATCATCTACAAATATATTTATACTCCAATAACTAGTTTAGGATGGTAGGATTACCTTTGTAAAGAAACCCTAGCTCTTTTCTTCTCCTTGTGTTCTTGAAGGATTTCTTGAAGAGCCTAAATTTTCATGATGATTTGGTGTTAATGATGGCAATTAGTACTTGAAATCTACTCACAACAACCCAAAGGAACTCACGTTAAAGAGGTATTTAATCCCCCAGCCGAGAGCCTCTCCCTCTAGACTTCAATATCTTCACCAACCCAATAATTTTCTCTCCCCAAATTTAGTATTTATAGGTCCAGTTGAAGTTATTTTTGTACTGACACAATAGTTGTGCTATAGAAGTTTAGCTCACCGATTTGCTAAAAATAATTCGGTTCCTTCTAGTGCTATAGCTAGCTATGGGGAGATAGTTTACTATCTTTTCCTTGGTTTTAGTGCTTTAAAATTAATATCCAAGTATTTTTCATTAATCCAACACTCAAAGATTGATAAAATAATTACTCTCAAGCAATCCCAATAAACTTGTTCCACTCAAGTATTCTCATGTTGCTCGGATTTAATAACTAAAGATTAAAATTATCCTGAATTAATTGTAGGTATTCACGGGGAACATAAAGTCTTTATAAATCGTTTTTAAGCCTTTAATATGGGTTCGGCTTGTTGGGCTAGCCTAGTCCGCCAGTGATGAAATAGGATTGAGCTAAGTTTTTTGCAACCTATTTAAAAATAAGAGGTTTTTTGCTCGATCAAAGTAAGTCCGGAACCCATAAGGCTTGACTGAAGCTGGGCTGGGCTCGACTGGCCCGTTACCCTAATAAAAATATATAATTAAGAATATAAAAAAGCAAAAGAAAAACAAAAAATGACAAGAATAGTAATCCAAAATCAAAGTCTATTAAACCCATCATATTAAAAGATCAAAATCTTTAAGTTTAAATTTTAAAAATAAAATTAAGTTAAATAAAATTATGACAGAAGTAAATAATAAAATCCTCCTAATTCCCTAAACCCTAAAAAAAAAAGTAGCGCTCTTTCCTCTCTTTCACTCGTACATGTGTATTTTATTTTCTTTTCGTCTCTTAATTTTTTTGTCACAAATGGATTTAAATGTGCTTGATGAAAATAATGTGTTGGTGTTAGATATGCCATGAGTTCCATGGATATGTCACTCGTACAATTTAATAATATATTAGAATGATGTCAGAATTTATTAAATTGTGCTGATGCTTTCTGTCAAATAAGATTTGTTTTTGACTTGTAAATATTTATTGTTTTAAGTTTTAGGTTAGAACTTAAATTTAAAAAAATATGAAAAATACTTTTTAAGAATGGTGTGTTTGCCCGTGGGGGCGGTGGCGACGTAAGTCTGGCATGGGCTAATCATTTTAAGGCCATCAAAATGATGGACCGATCCAGCCCAATAACTCAAATGCCAAGGCCCGTGTGGGCTGGGCTAGGCCAGCCCATGTTGTCAGGTTTAGTCAAAAGTAACCATATTGTTAATCAAGAATCTAATGCACCGAAGTATTTAACACTGAATTGTTCTTTTCAAATTTTACGTGGTGTTTGATTGCCAGCCATTTTGGCGGGCGAATAGAAAACGAAATAAAGAATTGGTTGAGCTCTTATTTAAGCAGAAAAGACTCTTACTCTAGGGTTCAAAGTCGTCAGGCCATTATTAATGTCTCCGAGAATAAAGTAGCAAAAAACAAGGAGAGTGAACTACAAGCAAGTAGTACTTCAAGAAACTGAAGCTGACAGACTTGCTCTGATTTTGATGATCATTTTAGCAAAAGTGGGGTTTTGGAAATGGAGAAGGAGATTACTGAAAGGAGTTTGAGGGTTGATCTATTAAATTTCTTGACTCTATGCTGACTCCATTAAAGATTGCACATATTGGGATGATATTTTCCTTTGGACGTGGCGTGGGATGATGAATATTATGATGCAAACTATTAAGCAGATCTTTCTAAACTATGAGGAATTTTATACTTCTATTTCAATTTGACTTATGATTTTAATAGTTTAATGATTTAAAAACCCCACATTGTTTTTTGCACTAATATGTGAATATTACCATAACAACCAAAAGTTTGTACATACTAAAGGCATCTAGTATACGTTAATAAGTAATACTAGACCCTAAAAAAAACACAAACAGTCTACTATACATTTGCCCTAACTACAAAATTGATTAACTAACATTTGGCAGTTTCTTGCCTTCCTTGAACCTGCTCGTGTGTTGATCCTTGCCCGCATTTCCTTCTTAATCTGACTATCACAGAATTCTGTGGTTAAACAAATTTGTCTAAAGATCCTCCAATTCCTGGCTTGCCAGGGGTAATAGATCATAGCTCCGAGAATAGCTGCTGCAACTTCTTTTCGAAACTGTCTCCAATGCCTTCTCCTTATCCATTGTAATGTTTCAGATACATTCTTTGTAGGGATATGAATACCAGACCAAGTAACTAGATCAGTTCTTAAGTTGGTAATCCATTGGCACTTTGCAAATAGGTGCAGGTGTGTCTCCAGAATATCCTGCCCACATAAACAGCATGCAGTATCTCCTGAGACAGGGATATGCAACTTCATCGATCTCTCCTTAATCAGCAGTTTTTGTTGATTTGCTAACCATAACATAACACGCTGCCTTGGCAGCATAAGCCCACTCCAAATCAGTTCTATTTCTCGCAACCTTGTACTCAATTCAGCCATAGCAATGTAGCTACATGAAACAGAGTAAACATCACTACTAGTCACCTTATAAATGTTTCTTGTGTACCAATGTGCCATTTTTTCCTTTAGCTCATTCAACTTCTTCCAATACCAGCTACAATCCATCGGTGGATTGTGAGCCCATATGTCCCTACACGTCATCATATATATATATATACCATGTACCCATTTGACCCATAGCACATCCTTTTTTGTCACCAATAGCCATAATAGCTTACCTATGAGGCCACATTCCATTGCTTGCAACCTTTGATGTAAAGTCCATCAAATTTCTTTGGTTGACAGACTTTATCCCAAGCAACCAAAGACATTTTCCTATGCTCTTCAGTGCTATCGCATAAGTAGTCTCTACACTTCCTATCAATTGCTTTAGACACATTTTGAGAAAGTATAAAAATAGCTCCCCAAAAGTTATACACAGAAAAGAGTACAACATTTATGACCTGCAATCTGCCAACATAGGAAAGTTGCTTAGAGTATCCAGTGTTGATCCTCATTGTGATCTTCTCTACTAACTGATGATATTCCACTTTGCTCCACTTCTTTGAAGATAGGGGGAGTCCAAGGTACCTCATAGGTAATGAGCCAAGGGAGAAACCAGTGGTATCCAAAATTTCTTTCTTCAAATCCTCTTCTATCCCAGTTAAAAATATATGTGATTTGTCCAGATTGGCCACTAAACCTAATACAACAGTAAAATGATTGATAGCTTCCATCATTCTGTGTATAGACTTTATGTTGCCTTTACAAAACAACATTAAGTCATCTGCAAAAATAAGATGAGTTAGCTTTGTGCTTTTACACATTGGATGATACTGAAAGACAGGCAGGTCACCCATTTTCCTCAGCACTCTTGACAGATATTCCATAACCAACACAAAGAGAAGAGGAGACATGGGGTCTCCTTGCCTGAACCCTCTCATCTTTTTAAAATACCCATAGCCTTCTCCATTAACCTTGACAGTGAAAGAAGTTGATGTTACACATACCATAATAAGCTTTATAAATGGTATAGGAAAACCATATCCTCTGAGTATCTCTTCTAAAAAATCCCAGCTAATCATATCATAAGCCTTCTTAAGATCAATTTTCATTAGACACCAAGGTGTAGTCTTCATATTATAGTGTCTCAACAGATCATGGCATATTAGTACACTGTGTATGAGAGATCTCCCCTCAATTAATGCATCTTGGTTGTCAGCAACCAAAATAAAAAGTGCTTCCTTGAGTCTCTTACTGATTACTTTTGAAATGCATTTGTAGATAACATTACAGCATGATATTGGTCTAAATTGACTGGCTAGCTAAGGATTTTTCACCTTAGGAATCAGGGCAATATTTGTTGAGTTGATATGTGTTAGAAGTTGGCCATTGTCAAAAAATTCCAGAATCGCATTAGTCACCTCCTCTCCTATATGGGTCATGATGCCTTGTAGAACCCACTTCCATATCCATCCGGCCCTGGACTCTTAGTTTCCTCAATGCCAAACACTGCTTCTTTGACTTCAGCAACTGTGTATGGCCTGACCAGCTGCAGTTGTTGTGATGTAGCCAATGTATGACCATTTTTTTATAAAGCTCTGAAAAGATGAGATTCTGTTATTCCCTTTTGTCCCTAGTAACTTTTGGTAATACTCTACAAAGACATCTGCTATCTCTTGTTGATCTGTCACCATTTTACCAAGTTTGTCTGTCAACTGAAGAACTGCTTGTTGTATTTTCCTGTGTTTGATCACAGAGAAAAAATATTTGTTATTATCATCACCCAATTTGAGCCATGTGACTTTACTTTTTTGTTGGAGGTGAACCTCGGCAAGATAGGAGGGCCTCTTGAACCTTTGAAAGAGATCCTTCTCTGCCTGTTGTATCCTTGTATCAAGAGGATTACTATGTAGTTCTGCCTGTATCTTTGCAAGAGCAAACCTATCTTCATCTGCCCTTGCTACAATGTCACTAAAATGTCTTCTGCTGAAAATTTTAAATTTAGCCTTTAACATTTTCATCTTCTTGACAACTTGAAACATAATATGCCCTTGGATTGATTGCATCCAGTCTTCCTTCACTACCTCCAGGAAATCTGGATGTGAAGTCCACACATTACAAAACTTGAAAGCAGGCTTGTTCTTCCTTTGTGTACTATATTAAGTCAATTTTAAAGGGCAATGATCACTAATATTTTCTGGTAGGAATTGTGCTCGAAAACTAGCCATGTTATTTAGCCATGCTGAATTGATGAAAGCCCAATCAATTCTTGACATAATTCTGCAATCTCCATGCCTATCATTCCAAGTGTATTGACTACCAGTTGTGGGGAATTCAAGTAGTCTACAATTTTCAATGCACCTATGAAAATCAGAAATCTCAGCCATAGTAATAGGTGTACCACCTATCCTATCCTCCAAATTTAAAACAGAGGTAAAATCTCCCACCACAATCCAAGGATGTGTCATTCCATTAGCTACTCCTTCCAGATAACTCCATAAACTCCTCCTCTCCTCTTTAGTATTATGTGCATATACAAATGTCATTATGTAAGTAGTTTGTAAACTCACATGGTTGATTTGACATGTGATTGCATGCGCACACATGGTCAGTAAATCAAATTTGAAACACTCAGGTCTCCAAGTCACCCAAACTCTCCCATTATAATGTTCAGTTAAGTGTGTGATATACCCCCACCCACCAAAAGGTTTGCTGGCTAGTTGATCCACCTTGTTTGCCTTTATTTTAGTTTCCAATAATACTATCAAACCAATATCCTCTTTATTACAAAGTAGTTTGATCTTCTTATGTTTGTTAGGAGTATTCATGCCCCTAACATTCCAGCACATGAGATTATCCATGCTCAATGGGAGAGTTAGGCTCCTCCCCCCCCCTCCACATTCATAGCATTACTGTTTTTTTCCTGCACATTCATGCCCCTAACATTCTCTTGCACCAGAGTTTGGAAAGTATTCTGATCTTCTTTGGCTCTTCCCTTAGTAGAATTTTGTGGTTGCCTATTTGTATTCTTAGCAGTATGCTGAGGTGTGACCCATCCTTCCTTTTCTTGTGTCTCCTTACCCTGTGCCTCTTTTATTTGATTAGTCCTTTGATGTATAGGCATGGTCTTTTCCTTTGACATTTTCCTTGTACTTACTTCATTGGAAGTAACTTGCGTATTGTTATCTTGTGCTTTCCCTTAGGATGAGGTTGCTGCACTTTCTTAGCTTTGCATACTTGTTCATCATGGCCATACTTCTTGCAAGTTTTACATAGTATTAGCTTCCAATCATATTGCACCTTTTGTTCCATAAGTAGGCCTCTTTCATTTTTGAAATACACTTTTTTTGGCAAAGGTGTATCCATTTCAACCTCAATAAGTAGTCTAGCAAAGCTCAATCCTACTTTCTTCAAAGTGTGGTTGCCAACCATCAGTGGCTTGCCTATTAAGCTTCCAGTTTTACTCAAACCTTTTGAGCTCCAATATTTTAACTCAAGCCCTAGCAATTTAACCCAAATAGGGACAGTGTATAACTCGTCACGTGTAAATTCCATATCTGGATTCCAAGCCTTCACAATGAAAGGTTTGTTATCGAAATGGTAAATTCCTTCCTTTAATACCTCATTCTTTCCAGCTACAGAGTCGAACCTTACTAGAACTATGCTATTTTTTAACATAGATACTTTGTTAATTCCATGCTTCTCCCACAGGCGTCGAACATACCCATTCAAAATTGCAAAATGAGGATGAGGCCCCAACACATAGCATACTACAACGGATTTCTAGTATTCAAGTTCAGAACTTATGTCCTCTATGTCAATTTCACAAACAGGTGATGCCTCATAAATTTCAGGAGTTACATATTCAAGTTTAAAACCAACGTTCGTTACCTTAGCAATATCAAAATTATCCCAGATGGATCCTTTTGAATTTAGCTCTGGTGAAGCCTCAAACTCATCTGCCCACGACAATTTGCTTTGACTGGACCCTAATTGGACCACATCCGTCCACTTCTGTTGAGATTTCGAAGTTCCTTCCCCAATTTCTGGTATCGGCGATCTAATTTGACTTGGAGTGGTTACTGTTCCATCAAATTCCTCATTGATAGTTGCTCCTGTTACTGTTTCATCAGTGGCACTAACTAAAACCCCCACATTATTGATACAAAAAATGCAGCTCGGTGCATTAAGCTCCCACTATGCGTGGGGCCGGGGAAGGGCCGAACCACAAGGATCTATTGTACGCAACCTCACACTATATTTCTGCAAGAGGCTATTTCCATGGCTCGAATCCTACATTATTGATACACATATTTTTATTTCATATTCTATCCCACAAAAATAACATATAGATTATCATATAATTTAATGCATGTATTATACTAGTAACTAAACGTTGCACTAGTTATATGAGCTATGTTTTATGCGACTAACCAAATATTATATTATCTTATGCGAGATTTTATGTAGGAATTAATTATTCCAAACCATTAACAAGTTATATTTATCTCATGCTTGATTATGAGTATGATTAATATCGATATTAAATGATGGTATTAGCTATTGATAGCTAATCTCACAGGATATCCTTGTCTATCCTACAATTGAACCAATTTTGCAAATCTTCCTACTACTTCACAAAGAAATTGAAACAAAATAGACACGAGAATGAACCAAAAGGAAGGAAAAAAAAAAAAAGTTTTGTCGAGGCGAGGGGAATATACTGAACGCATTCCTTTTCAAAATGGCTATTTGCAACTCATTACTCAAAGCTGGGAAGAAAAATTTCCAATAACGTTTTCTAAGAAAAAAAACTAAATACACAAGTTGTTGAAAAAATTAATTTGTAGAAGTAAAACCAAAATTTTTAATTCAAATTAGCATTTTTAACGTCTGTTTATCATCATGAATTCGTTAGACGCAAGCGTACACGTTAGTGAGATTTTAACCGATGAAATTTAGGATCTTAGCCTCTCTCATTGACCCTCAGGAAAGAAAAATAAAATACAAATGGAACAGAATGATAACTAAGTAACAAACCAATAAATGAAATGTGGATTCTGGTAACATCACCTCAAATGGATAACTATAATGGAAGACCTGAACATCCCAAAAGCTGTAGTCAGTTTCATTTCTCGTCTTCTATCTCAAACATGCAACAATAGTCAATAAACATACAAGAAGAATATGCGTTCAAAGATAATCTTTTAGAGTAGCAGGATGTCAGCAACTACTTCATCAATCAAAGAATTTAGCAGCCGTTTCTCGATCTGTATTCCCAGTTCAAATGCTTCAACTTCAAAGTCCAGCCATCTACCAAAGTAACTGCTCATGTCCTTGTCTACAAGTTCATCAACCATGCAGTTACCCATTCCACTCCACCCTGAAATTTCCCTATATACTTCTTCTGCTAGTTTCTCCTTGTTTCTGACCACTACGACACCTTTTAGCCATGTATCATATCCACCATCCACGTATCGCTTACATCTTATGTCCAAGCATTCACTCACACAATCAAATATTACCTTTCGTCTTTGTCCACGACCATTTACCCTTTCCAATTGATCAAAAAGGTGTGGATCGATGATCTCGTGAGACCTGCTCATTGCGAAATCCATGAACATCGACTCAATATTGCATACTATTTCCTTCACATATTCCAGCTCCCAGTTTGATGATTTTCCAAGATCCGTCATACGGAAATTTTTGAGATGCTCCTTTGCGCCACAAGTTGAAGAGGCAGAGTCTAACAAATCTACATCACCTTCTATCGAATGAAACTTTTTCAAAGAGCATATACCAAGCACTTCTTTAGCTTGTACTGATGAACTTAGCTTGCTAGCTGAAATTCATTAAACAATGTTCAGATGTTTCTAAAGTACCAGTGAATTTTTTCTTGCATGAAAAAACTCGGTGTGTTGATCTTACCTCCTGTATTGTTACTTTCTGCAGTATCTGAAGAATTGCAACTTTCGGTAAGAAAAGAATGCTCAAGAACAGATATAGGGCTTGGGAACCGACTGCCAAACACCTTCCTGCCTTCAAATTCACTGCTGCAACACTCACTCAGTTCCTCTTCCACTCCCTGATATCATACCAGATTAGATGATCAAATTAATTAAAAGGTTTCCCGTCTATTCTTTAAAGAGCTTTCTACAAATAGAGCAATACAATTAACAAGAGCACATTGAATCAGGAAAGTTGGAGGGAATTACTTTCTGAAATTTTTAGTCAAAGATGTCTAAACCATACGATGTCAAATCCAAAGAGGAGGGAAAACAAAGATGTCAAAGACTAAGAACACCAAATTATTAAAAGGCATAAAAGGGCTAACAAGAAATGCAGGTTAAGATACAGTCATCTGAATGGTCTAATTAAATTCACTACTGTAGAAAATATATAAATAGAGGTATCTGCAACCTACAAAGAGAGTGGCAAACTTAATGCAATAAAGATTCAAGTGTAAAACAGAATTATGCAATACATACCTGATGCTTGTGCTGCCCAGTGATTCCCAGAGGACGAATAGGAGAAAATCCAGGGTTGCAGCGGCTGACCAAATCATCCACTTCCATGTCATCATGGTTCCCCTTACCATGCAACATGGTGGTCTTCGATAAGCCATTCAGATCCTGGAATATCGATGAGGAAAAACTGGATGTTCCCTTTTTCTGGCGTGATGACTCAACTACATAAGATAATTCTCTTAATTTTTGATCCAAAAGAGTGCTCAAATCATCAGCACTGCTCAAGTTATGCCCAAAAGGAGCCTTAAAACTACTCATACTATCTGAGCTGAGCTGCTTCTTTTTACTTCGAAAATCCGTGCTAAACTCATGACTTGTCCCCTGTACTTCTCTTGGGGGCTCAGGGCTGGGTACTGATCGTGTCAGGGGTGCATTGAATGTAAAGGAAATAATGTCTGTTCCTTTTTCTTTTCTCTTCTCACCCCAGCTCATTTCCCTATCCGTGAATATGCCAGACTGAATCAGCTTTCCACTTTTATGAGTAGACGTGCTCCCAGCTGCCTGATTTTTTTCATATTGGATATCACCGTCACTAGGCCGCTTCTTACGTGTGACACTTTTAGTACAAGAATATGTTTCTTCCTTTCTATCACCGGCCTGTTTGCTCAGCCTCCTGGAACTGACTTTAGAGTTTTCAGCCATTTTACTTGAACTTTTCTGTCGCGCAATGGAAGAATCCTCGCCAAGTGTACGTTTTCCTTGGAAGTTGGAAAGAAACGGCTTTGAAGGTGACTTCCCCCTATCAGCTATGCTATTTTGTTTTTGATCATTCTGCCGCAAAACACATGAATTATTATGTACAGATGGTTTCTTGTGTGTGTTCTTCTCTGTGCTAGGTTGGCTTGTAAACAATTGGTTTGGAATGACTTTACTTGGTTCTTTCTGGCCAAGTACACTTCTGCTGCTGCCTGTATTTAGGCCCTCTCTTTTCTGGACATTGGCTTTTGCTTGCAGGGCTAGGGAAATCGATTTTCCTTTAGTTTTGCCTCCAATAAAAGATTCATCAGAATCTGAGAAATCTTTCTGCTTGGTTGTATCTGCTGATCCGTTCCAGCTCTTATTCATAGGTTGCCCTTTAAGGTACTTAGAAGCATTTGACTCAGCTGGCCTTCGAGAAGCTTCAGCTATCTTGGTTACTTTTTGAGAAGCTTCAACCCTTTCTTTTAAATCTTTTACCTTCAAGGGAATTGAAGAAGATCCAATTAGGGATAGTTTTGCTTTTGATGTAGCTTGAGGTCCTGGCTCAAGTATTCTGGCAGCTGCTTCCATTATGTGAGCTGCATTCTGAGGTGGGATTGAATTGGCACTTTTGATAGGGGATAGAAGCTTACAATGAGTAATTGGGATTGATTTAGCTGACTTAGGAGGTAAAATCTCCGTTTGAAACTTCTCAATTGGCCTGCTGATTATCTTCTGTTGCTTTGGCTCCAATGAGCTCCTGCCTAGATTCTCCATCTTCTCATGAAAGTTGCTGGAATATACTGATTGAAAATTTTGCTGGTATTCGAGGTTTCTCGAGAGGCAAGGAGCACTTCGTAGGGATTCAGAATCTAAAAATGGAGTGGAGTAAGGCTCTGAAAAGTTAGAGGTTGGCATGCAATCCAATCCCATAAGCCTTGCAACGACACCTGCAGGCTTGATACCATAATATTCCTCGTCAGATACCGATGAGGCACAACGGTAATCACTGCTCCCTTTGACACTGGACGCTGCTGTAGTATCATCCTCATTGTTCTGCATATGAAAAATACTTTCAATTGAGAAGTACAGCGACAGGAAAATATGTCTCCAATCCAAGTAGGTGGAAAAAGAAAAGATGAGAAAGATTGAGTAACAAACTGACCAGATGAACCCGAGTCATAGGTAAGTTCCCATCACATCTCTTCTTCTGTTTGGATTGCTCTGAAAAAAAGCATAGAAATAATGCTTGTTCAGCCATTATAACATTTAACAGCATGGTTTTCTTGACGTTCTACCACTACATACATGCATATTTGAAGAATCAGTAGTTGAAAGCATTGGTCATAGACAATTTCAGCGTTTACCTGGTATATCAGACTTGCTAGAGAACAACTTCTTCCGTGATTTTGCATTCCAATCAAATAGCTGCAGGAAGCCACCAACATAACCTCCTCCGCTCTTGGAACTGTGTTTCTCAGCACCCATATTCAACCACAGATCTCAAGCCCTCTTCAAAATTTGCTAACTGAAAAAAGAGATATTACAGCAAGCATTGTTTCCCAAGCTCACCTGCAAATAATTTTATGCTCTTTAAAACAAACATCAAGGGTGAGGAAGAATTTTCTTTTAGAGATTTATAACTTGTGAAATTCAGTAAATGGAAATGGAGGGGACATGCTCAACCAGGTGGGAATCCCATTTTGTCCACTAAATTTGCTCAATTCCCTTTTTCCATCAAAATTGAAAACTATCCTCCTTCAAGAATTCAAATGCGTATGCCTTAACCACTACTTTGCATCATCCAAATCTTGATATACATCTTTCCAGCAAATTTCTCCATTTCTTTGTAATTCCAATGATCAATTTTCTCTTGATAACCATTTCAAATTTCCTTTTCTTGAAATCAGCACTAATAACAGAATACGGGAAATTCATAGTCTTAATTAGCTCATTATATCGTTGCAAAATCTTTTTGCATTGCAGCGCAAGCAGACACATACCTGATTTTGGATTTCCTAAATCATTCCAATGCTATCCCTTGGCCTTAAAGACTAAAGTTACCCTCAAACAAAGACTTAAAATCTAGTAGTGCTTTCAAACAGAAAATGTGAGCTAAGAGTATCCATACTACCTCCCCCCTCGTTATCTAGAAAACTCCAAGTGGTGAAATTTCTTTTGCCCCTTTCCTTTTGAATTTGACATCATGACCAAAAGCTCTTAAACTTATAAGGTTTAATCAAGCTCAAACTATAATTGAACTAAACTTCTGCAAAGGCAACAAATTAAAGACATTCAACCCCGTGAATGATCAAACAAAAACATAGCAAAGAATTAAGCATTCCCATACTAAAAAAGGTTTAAAAATAAAATAAAAAACCCTAGTATCATACCAATGAGAAGCTAAACAAAATAAACCGAAATACTAAAAAAACTGACCTAGAGTCCCAGAGTAAATCAAGACTCATTAAATCTCATGCTTACAAATAAAAGGTGAATGATCAAACATAACTTAGTACGAAATGAAGCATTCTCCAATGCAACAGTCATACGAACTGAACAATAGAATCACCATTAAGAAACTAAGCAAAACAAATCCAACAAATTTTAAAACTATGTGGCTCAGAAGAAATCCGAACTGATTAAGCTCCTGCTTTTTCAAATTCCCAAGAATGATCAAGCATAAACATACTAGAAAGATCAATCTTTCACATATATAAATCATACAAAGTGAACAAAAGAAACCCAAATATAGATTAATAAAAACTTACACGACAGAGAAAAATCAAGACTTGTTAAAGCACCAGCTTTTCAATTCTTGTGGGTGTGAAAGTTATANAAAGTGAAAATGGGATTGTTTAAATATTCGAAAGAAGAAAATAATTAATGGTTTCTCCACAAAAGGTTAAAAAGGTTCTAACGTCTCT